TTAGATCACGTCCGAACCACATCGAAATCCTAAATTCTAAAATTTTCATGTTTATGGCTACAATAAAATCTTTGTGAGTTAGTGAGGTATAAATCAAAAGCAAGGCGTGCGTTGTGACACTTCAAAGTTGACCCAGCAGTATTGAAAATGGATACAGGTCTAAAACTGTTGGTTATAAATACGAGACCCGGGTTAGAAAATCAGAGTTGGCTGCAAAGGCTCAATTCCATTATCTTTAAAGTTTGATGCTTTTGAGTTTTCCAATCAAAATTTGAAGCAAATCGGTCAAATCAATAATTGGTATGATTAGACGTACAAACAAACATACAATCCGAAAACAGAGATAACTCCTTAATTTATACAGGTTTTATCATTTAAAATGAAAAAAATTGTTCTCCAAAGTTTGCCACCACATGTCAATACTTTTATATCTAAAGGTTTGCAGACTAAACAACTTGTCAGAAGTTTTCAAAACTAAACCAGAAAAGATAAAAAAGTAAAAGGAAAGAAGGATGACATATTTTTGAGAAAAAAGTTTGTTAAGAGAGAAATAAAGTTTTGGTTTTCAGTTGAATTGTTTTCAATATTTTGTTTGTTACTTACTATCGTTGGTAGATTTTCGTTTAAAATTTAGCGGATTCCCAGTACCGGAAAGGTAAATAAAATGAAAAAACTCTGATGACGATCTAAAACATTTTAGATATAATCAACGATAGTAAAGTAGGATGAATTTTGTCTTCTGCTTTGAATATATACTATACATAACGGATGAAACTTCAGAGACGACTATATGGAATTCATGTAGACTTTACATCTCGACGGGTAACTCCCTGCATGGCAACATGAAACCATTTTTTTTTCGCTAAATTTTAGGCTTTATTCTTGGCAACGGAACACTTTCATTTGAAGCTAAAATTTGTTGCAATCAAATCAACTGCAGTCAAACTTGGTTGTAACCAAACTTGGCTGTTACAACTCAGTTGCAATCAAATCAACTGCAATCAAATCACTTGCAATTCTGCCCCTTCAAAGTGAGATCTTTTATTTGAACCCCTGAAATAAATATCTTGTAACATGATATTCTGTAAACCTAAACTATGTTGTACATTATTAACCATCTACGCTTCTAAACTTTTACGTAAAACCCATTATTAATTTGAACTACACGCTTCAAATGAATACTTAGCATGATGAGCTTAATAATGTGATATATAATGATGTACATCTTAATTACGTCTATTTTAACTGTGCTGTAAATATGTAACATGATTATCATGTGATCTAGATAACGACGTAGAAATTGTAATTACGTCTATTAACTTTAACTTGTAACATATAAGCCTTAAATACATCAGTTGATATAGAGACTCCGTACTGTTTACTGCCAGAGAGTAATCGTTGCTTGTTTTGATAAACAGGTTCAGGATCGTGCCTATTGGTTTGGCATTGATAGTTACGAGCTTCTGATCGATATCGATAGCTTACGAGATCGTGCCCATCGGTTTGGCATTAATAGATTAAAAACTTGTGTCCCTGTTGACATTGATAGCTCTTACTTGTTGAAAAAAAAGAGCTGATATCGTGCCTATTGGTTTGGCATTGATAGTTACGAGCTTCTGATCGATATTGATAGCTTACGAGATCGTGCCCATTGATTTTGGATTGATCGATTAAGAAATTATGTCCGTGTTGACATTGATAGCTGACAAAGTGTACCTGGATAGATACGGATTCAGATCCCCTTATGGAGTAGGGCATTTACTACACTCCTGTGTATTGAGCAGAATATTGAATATACGTATGGATTACAAATTCATGATTTTGAAGTCCAATGAACATGAAAGACAGCAGATGGAAAGTGCACACAGATTCATTTCAACATCAATTACATAAAAAATGGCTAAAGCCTTGTGTTCCTATTTCACGGTTTACTGGGTCACACTGTAAAACAGATTAACATAAAAGTCTGGCTGGAGCAGAATATTGAATATAAGTATGCGAGGTATATCAAGTGTAGGGTTTCCAGAAAACGAAATTTCGCGAAAATGTTGTTTAATATTTCGCCAACTTTTGCATTTTTCGCGAAAATGATATCTGCAAACGAAGCGAAAGAGATGCGGAATTTCTTGAAAAAAACGACAATTTTTCGCCAAATTTCGCATTAGTTTCGCGAAACAAAAAATTCGCCTTTTTTCTACGAAAAGCAAAAAATGCGAAAATTTCGGCAAAAAATTTGTTCTTGCGAAAGCGAAACCATTTCCCCATTTGGCTGGAAACCCTAATGAGGTGTATGGAAGGTATGAGAGCAGTAAAGCTAAACCTACTGGAAGAATACTGGAAGAATACCCCGGCTCTAATATTTATAAATTGCCCTTGGATAATAATAAGATGTAAGATACAGGGTGCACCAGAATACATGGATACAGGGTGTATCAGAATACAGGGACACAGGGTGTACCAGGATACAGGGATACAGGGTGTACCAGGATACAGGGATACAGGGTGTACCAGGATACAGGGATACAGGGATAAAGGGTGTACCAGGATACATGGATACAGGGTGTACCAGGATACATGGATACAGGGTGTACCAGAATAAAGGGATAAAGGCTCTTGTAATTTGATTAAGCATTTTAGAAGTAATTACTAATTGTCAACGCTTTTTGCAGGAAGGCTTGGAAACTTGAAATCACTTTAAGAAAAACTTACGCGTTGTTTTATGTCTCTTCGTTTTTATCAATACATTGAAGACGGCGTTTTATTAATGATGCTTTGGTCCCTGAAAAGCGCTTTTTAAATTGAAAGGTTACATGTACATAGAAGCTGCTACTGTATATTGTCAGCAATTGTTATAAATCATTAGAAAAAACCTTTGTTGTCATCAATAATTTCAGTAAGTTTATAGAAAAATAAAAGACGACATTCTGATAAAGGTTTTATTCTTCCAGGCTGAAAGGGTTAAGTAGCATACGGGAGGGGGGGGGGGGGGTATTTCTGAACCGGTAATAATAATTATCTAATAATAGATCAGTAAAAGATTTAACCTGGACATCCTCTCACCATTTAGTTAGATTTTGTTATATTATTATAAAGTTAGTTATACGCCATTTTCTCTCCATGGGGAAATGTAGTTTCAAATAAAAAGTGATTCGGCCAAACTTGTTTTTAAAAACTTCGACTTTTAAAAAAAGATATTAATTTTTCAATTCCGAAAAGTAAAATTAAATCCAAGTTTCTAAATTCTTAAACCCAAGTAATTTCTAATACAGGGTGTCCCAAAAAACATGGGAATTCATTGACGAATTGTAAATCGTCTTTGCTATGAATTAGCATTGTAATATCTAATTTCAAAAGCCATAATATTATTATGTCTGCTAGAGTTTATTTTATGAAAAGGGTAAAAGACTGTAAAGATGTGTCTATAATGTCTCTGCAAGATGAACAGTGAAGACGGACAAGTTTTCTCTGTTTGTATAGTGCAATTTTCTTGTTTTACAAAGTACAGCCGTATGCAGTCAAAACATAAACAAACAAATTGTAAACATAGCAGACGAAACTCTTACAGATTAAAGCTTTCTCAGTTGGTATCACTACACTAAATCAAAGAATTATTCAAAAAGACGATATCGAATTCGTCACTGAATTCCCATGTTTTTGGGACACCCTGTAAGTATTCCACAAAGGATAAGACTTTAGAAAAAAACTGTACATATATATGTCTTAATTCATTGTTTAAAATATATTAAGTTCTGCTACATTGGGTGGCAAAGATAAAAGTATTAAAATATCAGAGCTAGTTAGTGGCGAAGATTTAATTATTTCATCTTAATTCAGAATACAAAATTCAGATTTTTTCATGTCGTCATTAAACCTAATATTTTTGAATAACCCTGTAGGACTAGCAGGAAATCCGGCAAAATAATATTGTGCACATTTTTTGCGCTTCCTTTCAAGCTAAATGGGAGAAAAGAAATTGTCAATTGAGTCTTTGCCATAAAATTAGATTTTACAATCTCTAAAATAATCTATGTATCCTGATAGTGTAAACCTTTCATATTTTAAACTTAGATTACTAGAAATTCAAGGCGCTTCGCGCCCTTCTTTCTATGCTTTTAGGGCGCTTCGCGCCCATCTTCTATTTTAATTGTGAACATGTTCTTTTTGTTTACATTTCAAAACAAAGAAGAACAAAATTTTGCGGATTTTAAAAAAAATTCGCGGATTTTCAAGAATTTAATTTTTTTTACAAAATTAAAAACCTTTAAAACACAAATTTTTAAAATTTCAATCATTCATAAACCCTCCCTTGGGTCCCTAGATGTCCAACAAAAAATTTGGGCCCGATCGATTCAGCCGTTTTGACGTTTATTGGATACTAACAGACAAACAAACAAACAGACAAACAGACAAGCCAAATTTATATATAGATTAGATCCAACAAAGTTCATATTTTAAAATAAAGGGATTAGAAAACCAGAGTTAGTGGCAAAGCCTTAATTCAGAATACAGAATTGTTTTATAGATTGTGGACTTTTATCGAGATTTATATGTCGTCATTAAACTTTTTTTGGATAACCCTGTGGGACAATTAGACTGGGCGTGATCCCACTTTTTTAAATCGTTCCTTTCCGTTCCGTTCCGTTCGTTCAGGTGAAAGCACGATCTTTCCCCAGGAACGACGCCCAGTCTGCAAGGGCAGGGTGTGTTTCTACTTTTATAAATCGTTCGTTCCGTTCCGTTCGTTCCCGGGAAAGAACATCGTTAGGAAGACGCCGAACCCTAAGAAAAAGTAGAAAATCCACACGAATTCATAAAAATTTACTTTTTGCGCTCCCTTTCAAGCAAAGTGCGAGAAAGTTCTGTATCATTTTTTTATTTTTGATGCGGTGTTTTAAAACGAAATGATAAAATAAAATAATCGTAAAATGTTTAAGTTGTGTCTGCAGATATAAAGATGAAAATTATTTTTCTACTTGGTTTAATTCTCCTTCCAATTCTACAGGCTGGCAGTATACAGCACAGACATCTAGGAAAACAACATCATTTAGCAAATATTACAAATATTGTGATTGTATAAGTGGGAACAATATCATTCAGCAAATATTACAAATATTGTGATTGTATGAGTGGGAACAACATTATTTAGCAAATATTACAAATATTGTGATTGTATAAGTAGGAACAATTTCATTTAGCAAATATTGCAAATATTGTGATTGTATGAGTGGGAACAATATCATTCAGCAAATATTGCAAATATTGTGATTATATGAATGTGAACAACATCATTTAGCAAATATTGCAAATATTGTGATTGTATAAGTAGGAACAATATCATTTAGCAAATATTGCAAATATTGTGATTGTATGAGTAGGAACAACATCATCTAGCAAATATTACAAATATCGTGATTGTTTAGGTGGGAACAACATCATTTAGCAAATATTACAAATATTGTAATTGTATAACTGGGAAAACCATCATTTAGCAAATATTACAAATATTTTGATTGTATAAGTGGAAACAATATCATTTAGCAAATATTACAAATATTGTGATTGTATAACTGGGAACAACATCATTTAGCAAATATTGCAAATATTGTGATTGTATGAATGAGAACAACATCATTTAGCAAATATTGCAAATATTGTGATTGTACGCAGTATGAGTGGGAACAACATCATTTAGCAAATATTGCAAATATTGTGATTGTATAAGTGGGAACAATATCAGTTTGCAAATCTTAAAAATATTGTGAGTGTAAAAGTGGGAATAAATCATTGAGCAAACATTACAAATATCGTGATTGCATTGGTGGGAATAACATGTTTTAGCAAATATAACATAACAAGTTTCTTAATTAAATTACATATTGTAGTATAAATCAACTAGAAACATTTAAAAAAAAAACTTAATTGAAAATGAAAAAAAATTAAGATAGAAAAACAGTAGTTTCTTACTTATTTTTTGTTTAATGGATTAAAGGTTATAACTGTTATTAATCGGGCATAATACTTCTAAAATTAAGTTCATATAACAGCTGTTAATCTGGCTTAATACTCCTAAAATTAAGTACATATAAACGTTGTTAATCTGGCTTAATACTCCTAAAATTAAGTACATATAACCGTTGTTAAACTCTCATGATACTCCTAAAATTAAGTTCATATAACTAGGGTTGGAAACATTTTGATTTTTGAAAAAAACGATCGTTTCGTTAAGAAAACGTCGAGGAAAATCGAAAAACGAAACGATCGTTTTTAAAAACGATCGTATTTTTAAAAAGTTCGTTTTTTAAAAACTGTCGTTTTTTAAACGATAGTTATAAAAAACGATCGTTTAAAAAAACGATCGTTTTTCAAAGCGATCGTTTTTATAAAGTTCGTCGTTTTGTTAACGATCGTTAACGACTACCCTTCTTGATAATAACCGTAAATTTGGAGACTACAGTCCTTCTTTCGATCTGTAGAATTAATTATCTTTATGTGACGTAATTATCAATCATTACCTTATCCAATCACTAATCAAATCAGTCTTCTAGGGATGACCTTTCATTAACTAAACAATTATGATCAAAACCTAATATTTTTAATATCTTGTACTTTAATTTCTTGTGTGCCAAATTTCAAGCATATATAAAACAAATAAAGAATTAGGTTTTAAAGTTCATATTGACCATTTTGCGGGGCTCATGGCGGCTCTGCACTCTCAAAAGTAGAACAAATTTCTTCAATTCAATTCAATTCCGCTGAACATTTTATAACTGCTACGGCATGTAAGACGACATTTGATAAATCTAATTAAAGACGACATTTATGACTATCTTCAGGACGTCGTAAAAATGATAATTTTTTTTTTCAAAAACGATCGTTATTTTTTAACGATCGTTTATTTAAAAACAATCGTATAAAAAACGGTCGCTTATCGTTTTTCTGAAAATGATCGTTTTCAAAAACGATTGTTCTTCGTTTTCTAACAGTTCAAAACGAGTGGGTTGTTTTAAAAACGATCGTTTTTTTGAGAAAACGAAACAATCGTTTTTAAAAATGATCATTTAACGAAGCAAAAAACGATCGTTAAACGATCGTTTTCAAAAACGATTACCAACCCTACATATAACCGTTGTTAAACCGTCATGATACTCCAAAAATTAAGTAAATATAACCATTGTTAAACTGTCATTATACTCCTAAAATTAAGTTAATATAATCGTTGTTAAACTGTCATGATACTCCTAAAATTAAGTTCATATAACCGTTGTTAAACTGTCATGATACTCCTAAAATTAAGTAAATATAACCATTGTTAAACTGTCATTATACTCCTAAAATTAAGTTAATATAATCGTTGTTAATCGGGCATGATACTCCTAAAATTAAGTCCATATAACCGTTGTTAAACCGTCATGATACTCCTAAAATTAAGTAAATATAACCATTGTTAAACTGTCATTATACTCCTAAAATTAAGTTCATATAACCGTTGTTAAACGGTCATGATACTCCTAAAATTAAGTTAATATAATCGTTGTTAAACTGTCATGATACTCCTAAAATTAAGTTCATATAACCGTTGTTAAACTGTCATGATAATCCTAAAATTAAGTTCATATAACCGTTGTTAATCGGGCATGATACTCCTAAAATTAAGTCCATATAACCGTTGTTAAACCGTCATGATACTCCTAAAATTAAGTACATATACCCGTTGTAAATCGGATACTCCTAAAATTAAGTACATATAAACGTTGTTAATCAGATACTCCTAAAATTAGGTACATATAACCGTTGTTAATTGGATACTCCTAAAATTAAGTACATATAAACGTTGTTAAACGGTCATGATACTCCTAAAATTAAGTTCATATAACCGTTGTTAATCGGATACTCCTAAAATTAAGTACATATAAAAGTTGTTAATCGGATACTACTAAAATTAGGTACATATAACCGTTGTTAAACGGTAATGATACTCCTAAAATTAAGTTAATATAACCGTTGTTAAACTGTCATGATACTCCTAAAATTAAGTTCATGTAATCGTTATTAAACTGTCATGATACTCCTAAAATTAAGTACATATATTGTAAATCGGATTCTCCTAAAATTAAGTACATATAACCGTTGTTAAACTGTCATGATACTCCTAAAATTAAGTACATATAACCGTTGTAAATCGGATACTCCTAAAATTAAGTACATATAACCGTTGTAAATCGGATTCTCCTAAAATTAAGTACATATAACCTTTGTTAAACTGTCATGATACTCCTAAAATTAAGTACATATAACCGTTGTAAATCGGATTCTCCTAAAATTAAGTTCATAGTCCCTTTAACAGGAATTTTCTAGATTATAATAGATTTCATCGTTAGTTTTTGTGAAAAAGGTTTTCTCTCCTGAGAGCATTTTGTGGAAATTTATTGTTCGATAAATAATCTGTTCAATTAGGGGAATGGATCGAGAAAACATCATCATTTATATATTCTTTAAACCAATTAAAATTACAATTAGATCAATAAGAAGAAGATACAACATCTGTATTTTATGTTGACTATAAGAGATTATAATAATAAAAAGAAACTGAGCTCTTGTCACAAACTTAAATTTCGTTGTTAAAAGAATTTACAAAATAATACATTTTTTGAAGGGCTTATACAGAAACACAAAATGTGATTATTTAATCTCAAAATTGTGTTTATCAAATCGGATAGTTTTTTTTTTCTTGCTATTTTTCAAATTCTTAGTTATATTTTTCAACTCATTTTAAGATCTTGTTTTGAAATTAGTTGATCTACTCGAAATCCAGAAATATATGCTGAATCTGATTTGTCCAGGGGTTGGACTGAGGATGTGTACACCACAGGTAACCTTATACAGGGTGTCCAAATAAACACGAAATATGTTTTAAACCTAATATGTCCAGAGCCCTAAACTTAAGACAGGGTATCGTTATGAAAACCAGTTTTGAAATCCGGGTTTCAAGAATGGGTGCAGGCAGTTTTGTGGATATCAATATTTTTGTTATGAAATATTATGTTACGTTATTTAGTTTCTTCATATTCTCCGTTTTTTTTCGAATCTCATAAAAAAAATCTACACAAATTTTGAGATCCCAAAAAGGAAACTTGAAGGTTTTATCAACGATACTCATTTAAATTTCGGGCTCAAGGGTTGGACTTAGGATATGTACACAACAGGTAACCGTATACAGGGTGTCCCAATAAACAGAAAATATGTTTTAAACCCAATATGTCCAGGGGTTGGACTGAGGATATGTACACAACAGGTAACCTTATACAGGGTGTCCCAATAAACAGGGAATATGTTTTAAACCTAATATGTCCCCTTGACCGATTTGCCTCAAATTTGGATTAGGGAACATGGGAGAACCAAAGGGATAATACTATCTTGCTTTAAAAATTCTAAAATCTAAGGTGATTGGCTTGACTATCTCCAAACAAAGCTGGGTTTCCAAGCTAGTATATCTATATGATTATTTTTTAATTTTTACAGGACGATGAGTACAAATCTTTAGAAGAAGAGAGCAACATAACAATGTTTAGACAAGTTAAAGACGAATCGCATACTTCAACGGACGAGTCCGTGAATGACGACTTATATACGAAAAGTGTTGGGTCGGACGACAGTGCGAAGAACGATTCTGTGACGCACGACTCAGCAATGGACGGTTCTGGGTCGGACGACGCTGCAACGAACGATACCACAGCTTTCAATTCTACGACTAACGATTCTGCAGAGTTTAATTCTGGGTCGGACGAAAGCTCTGATAAGGGACGAATTGTTGGAGGAAGCAGTGTAGAGAAGGGAAACTATCCTTTCATGGCATCTCTTAGGAAACAGAAATAGATATTTTAAATTTTTTTAAATAAAAAAAACATGGAAAAATCATAAATGACAGAGAAAGTGACTTAAAGCACCTCTAACGATTATCAATAAACTCTAACGATAATCGTTAACATATATCGGGAAGTTTAAGCAAGGCTATATTTGGGATGGGATGAACCCAAAACCAATTTTTTTATTCGTCTTTATAGTTTATAAATTCCTTTGAATATATTTTTATAGCCGATTCTTAACGATACTCTTTAAGCTTTATTTGAGCAATAATAAATAATAGCTAGAAAATGATGTGAACAATTTCCTGCTTTGTCTCCGCTGCATAAATCCGCAAGTCAATTTTTTGAGGTTAAAAATGACATTTCCATCACTTTTGCCCTTTTTATGAAATTCTTTAAATAACGTCGATTGTCCCTTTTTAAAGAGCTCATCAAAATTAAACTTAAAAAAAGATATTTTGGAAATTAATATTTTTTAGAAATTAATATTTTGGGAAATTAATATTTTTGGAATCTAATATTTCTCCTTAATCTCAGATACAGAGTAGCAGGATATAATCGTCCTCCCAGGTTCACTTTAAGAAAAATTAATTTATTTTTAGTCAAACTTATCTAATTTTTCACATAGACGTTTCAAGGATTGATAGATAAAATACGCAGTGTATTTTGATGGATTTAGTCCTAGATATAAATTCAAAAAACATTTTTTTAGCATTTACAAAAATAATTATATAATTTCAACTCATTTTCTTTTTACAAATTCAAATCTGATTAATTGTTTTAATTTTTAATTTACAATCTAAAATTTTGTATATAAGTACTGGAAGTGAAAAGTAATAGTGATTTAAAAATATTTATATTGTCTTTAGATTGACTTTATACATGTAGAAACAGATTGGAACATCAGATTATAATGCAAAAGTTTTGCCCTAAGATCATTTTTTATTGTGGCAAAAATAAACTTAAGATTCTTGCTATTTACATCCCAAACAGTTCTGATTTAACAGTTCCAAAATTTAAAATTATTGTTTTTAATCAAAAGGAATGAAGTCTTTGCCAAAACTTTGATTTTCTAGTCCTAAATCTATGCAGTCCAAAGTCGAAGGCCTGAGATATTTTAAACTATGATTTCTGTTGGATCAAATAATCTAAGTTAGAAATATCAAAAGTTTACATGATAAGGTAAAAATTTGAGTTTGAGGCAAAGACTCAATTTCTTTATTTTTCAAGGTATCAACATTACTGTGGTGGAGCTATTATTACTGAGAGAACTATTGTAACTGCAGCTCACTGTGTTCTGGTAATATTTAAATAATATTTTATTTTAAAGAAAGTTTAAATTTTTGAAACACGAACCGGCGACTGTTTGGCTTTCTTTTACACATAGATTAATAACAATACAGATATAACAATTAATGTCGTCTTTTCAAGATTTAAAGGTTTTTCGTTCACATTAACCCTGAGACAGAAGCCCAAATGAGTTATGCGCATGCTGCGTTGACAAGACAGAGCGAGGAATATGCGCGCACCTCCTCCAGGTTCTGCCTCGAGTTATTGTGAACGAAAAACCCCTAATTCTTAAAAAGAGGACATCAAGTGTTCTATCTGTATTGTTATTAATCTATAAAAATATTTGTGACACAAATTGCTTATAGTAAAAAAATCGTTTATTTAGTAGCCATTCAAATTTTGCTGCCAAATAAGCCATTTTTTGTTGAATATAAAAGAATTTTGGTGGCTTATTTGGCAGCCATCCAACGTGTGTTGCGATTTTTTAATTTCGGGGTGTACTCTTCTTAGTCCTATGCATCAAAACAAATTCTTCAATAAGTTAGAAAAGTCACAAAGTTTTAATTTTTTATTTCTCAAACAGATTTAGAATTATATACAGACCGAACTGCAGGGTTATCCACAAATGATGAAACTTCAGAGACGACTGTACGGAATATGATTTAGAGACGACTGTACGGAATATGATTTCCTGCAACGTCCATAGAAAGACTATGTTTAAGGCAGAAGACCTAAATAAACCTCTGAATCGTCATATTTTAAGAGATTCAGGTCGTCTTTACAGTCCCATTCTGTACTAACTTCATCGTAGTTTGGACACAAGTCAGAACCAGATATTGAACAATTTCACCCACTACATGATTATTTATCCAATATTAAAGGGACAGACCGGCTGTATAGGGTATCTGAACTGAGTATGCAGTGTTGTGGACAATTTCTTTAGGATTCATTTGAGACATATAAAACTTTTTGAAAGATCTATAAATCCTAAGTTTCAGTACAAACTCGACGTTCAAAATCGTACTTTTGGGTAGATATGTTTTCAGAACTGTTTTTTAAATTATTAAATAACGACAACTCTGATTAAAATGTAAACAAAATTCTACAGTAAACTAATTAGTTGTTTAGGAACAGGTTGAGAAAATAAAAATCAACTCTTATCATCGAAAATAAGTAATCTTATTCAATTATTTTCTGCAGGTATTCTGCAATTTTTGTTAAAAAAGACAACATTTGAAGAATTTGAAGAAATCTGCGAACAAATTCATAAAAAATAAGAAATTCAATTTAATGATGAAAAAGGAAATAATTAATCCTAAATTCGATTCATTGACAAATTTCTTTTGAGAAATATGTTCCTAAACATCTAATTAGGTTACTGCATAATTTTTGATATATTTTTCGTCGTCGTTATTTAATAATTAAAAAAACCGATTCTGAAAACATCCTCACAGAAATTCATGATTTTGAACGTCGACTTTGCACTCAAACTCAGTAATTATACATCTTGGAAACGTTTATATGTCTCAAATAAATACTAAAGATTTTGTCCACAACACTGCATACTCATTTCAACTACCTTACATAGCCGGTCTATCCCATTAAATAGATTTGGTAATATACAAATTTGACCTAATGGTTAAAATCAATAATGCTTGTATTTACTTTATCCCTGGTGTATTGGATTTCCATCTATCCTACCTCTTTCATATAATATACATCCTTGGGGGCTTTTATATAATATATATATGTAGATATATTGATTAATAATGATAATACAAACCATTACATTCCATTGAATGCAGGATATAAGGCATATTCACGGTATATTTATACACTCAACAGTATACAAATATGTGGGCACTATCTTTATACAAATACTTGAGATTTTTCTTTTTCTTTTTTTAATTTTATTTTAAACTTCTCTCCTGTTCTCTCCTGTTCTCTTCTGTTCTCCCCTGTTCTCTCCTGTTCTCTCCTGTTCTCTCCTGTTCTCTCTTGTACTCTCTTGTTCTCTCCTGTTCTCTCCTGTTCTCTCTTGTACTCTCTTGTTCTCTCCTGTTCTCTCCTGTTCTCTCCTGTTCTCTCCTGTTCTCTCTTGTTCTCTCTTGTTCTCTCTTGTTCTCTCCTGTTCTCTCCTGTTCTCTCCTGTTCTCTCCTGTTCTCTCTTGTTCTCTCTTGTTCTCTCCTGTTCTCTCCTGTTCTCTCCTGTTTTCTTATGTACTCTCCTGTTCTCTCTTTTTCTCTTCTGCTATCTCCTGTTCTCTCCTATAAATAATTAATAACCCTAACGGCATTTAACACTTTTTAAGTTGATAATTACTTGAAACTACGTCAACGGTTTCTTTAATGTTTGAAGAATATACTTTTATATGAAATATATGTTCTCCTCTTTTACGAGGAACAGGTTAAATTATAGATTTCTCGATCTGAAAGAAAACTGATAAAAAATGTCAAGAACATCTTAAATCTTTCATTTACTTTTAATAAAAAAATAGCAACTGCAATTATTAGATTTATCATTTTATCTTCCAAAAGTTCACAAAAGTTCAATATATATTGTAGATATATATATAATATTAGATTCCCCCCCCCTAAAAACACAAAGGGTAATTTCCTAATCCCTCCTAAGGTGGAACATCTCATTCCTTCCCAGCGTTGGGCAATTTTTGAGATTCCACGGGCAACGTCGGAATCTTGATTATCACTATAGCTAACCCTTTGAAATCTGAACACAAAAACAACACTAAGGAGATATCTATGAGGTTTTTATTTGAAAATGTTTATATGAAACAATAAAATTTTAAACTTAATTAATGAACTGTATTGAACTGGAATGAATAACAGGGTATCTCGTACTAAAAATAAATAACAGGGTGTCTCGTACTAAAAATGAATAACAGAGTGTCTCGTACTAAAAATAACAATACAAAGATCATTTTCGATACAATCCATCAAAGAACAATATGTATGTTTATAAAATAGGTTTCATGACTTGTAAGCATTTGAGGAGGTGATACATTATGGAAAGTTTTTTTAAGAGTTTATATAAACAGTTTTCATCAAATAATATTATAGATCGTTTCATGTTTTGTGGGACACCCTGTATGTTCTAATTTCAAGTTGTATAGTCTACAGTGGATTTATAATTATACCGGCGGGACTAAACTTATGATACAGATCAAATATAACAGATGAGAAACTTTACCCTTTGTATACCTATGCTTGCTTACCATTCTCAAGTTCGGAATTGGTTAAAACCAAGTTTTTCTGTACACTTTATCAAACATGAGAATTTCATGGTTAATGTACTTATAGCATATATGCCAATAATTATTATCGTCCATCTATGATAATATGATATAAAGATTTATAATTTGTTCCGGGATTTTCCTAAAAAATTAAGAGATTTGTCAAGTTGATTATTCTTTGTTAATTTTCATGAACAAAAGTGAAAATTATTCTTTTATATCCCTGCTTTGTTGGAAAGTTTTTTATAATTATGAATAACACAATTTCACAAAGTTACCTCTAACACTTTTATTTTGGGCTAGCGTGGTTTTCTCCCTTTCCAATATTCTTAATTGTTGAAGATGCTTTCCAAAAATTTGAGAGCACTGCGAACCACAATAAAAGTGTTTCAATTAACTATTTAAATAAACTTAGATCTATGTATCTTAAATAGAATAAATTTTTAAAACTTTATCTATTCATTTTTATATACAGGGTGTCCCAAAAAACATGGGAATTCAGTGACGAATTCGATATCGTCTTTTCAAATAATTCTTAGATTTAGTACAGTGATACCTACTGAGAAAGCTGTAATCTGTAAGAGTTTCGTCTGCTATGTTATGTTATCAAGTACTGTCTAAAAACTTCAGTTGTTATCAAGTAATGTCTAAAAATATGCGGACCTAAAAGATTTAATGTTATAACTTCATGAACAATGATCAAAAATAAATGTCTAGGAAGATAGTCTGAAAGATCTTGTAAAATAACTCTATATGATAATTGATCAATTTTCAATGTTAGGAAGCTAATCTGAAAGATCTGGTGATATCTGTGGGCGATCATGATCTCAGAGATACCGCTGATGAAGAAATTATCGTGAAGGAAAAAAACTACTAAAATCTCATTTTTAATCAGAATTGAATGTAATATTAACCCTATCCCCGCTGGGGTACTTGAAAACCAGGATACGCTGGGGGGGGGGGGTCAATTTGACCCCCCCCCTCTAAATCCCATGTTTTATGTCCAAATATGACAAATGATACATCATTAGAAAGCTCTTGTGCTCTACTTTTAGAATCTGCAAAAAAAATTGCAAATTTGCAAAAATTGAATTTTTTATCGAATAATCCAGTTTTATAGTAAAAATGTTTGCAAAAAAAAATTTGTCCAAAAAATGACAAATTATACATTTTTGAAAAGCCCTTGACCATGCCATTTCAAATATGCAAAAATTTTTGCAAAATTTTAAATAACCTGATTTTTAATCAAGAAAAACTAAAAATGTGCAAATTTCCTTTGACAGGTTGTTTGCAAAAAATTTGCAATTTTTTTCTTTCGCAAAACTTGTGCAATTCGTTTCCTTATGTCATAGGCTTTCCAAAAAGCTAAATTTTATCAAAATCTGACAAGTGAAAGTGGGTCAAAACAAAGATTTAGTTTGCTACAGGCAAAAGCAGTCATTCAGGCAGTGTGCCTGAGGACTCAGGCAGTTAGTATTAAAGCCCGGTTTTAGGCCTAAAGGGAGGACTTTGGGTATGTAAGAAAAGTCAGAAAATTTCAACAGCCTCAGACCAATACTTTTTGAGTTATGTAAAAAAAACTACAGGGGGGGGGTCAAATTGACCCCCCCCCCCCCAGCGGGAATAGGGTTAACAAAGCAGAAATACCCAACACAACCCTTAACAAATTTGTCTGATAAAAAATGAATTAGATATCCATGTTTTTCTTTGTAAAAGTGATTTTTACATTTTATTTCCAGAATTAACAGAGGAATTGTCAGAGTATAACACTTGTTAAAGGGAGTGACCGTCGATGTATGGTATTTGAACTGAGAATGCAGTATTGTGGAAAAATGTTTAGGATTCATTTGAGACTTGTAAAACGTTTTAATGGTGTATAATTACGGAATTTGAGAGAAAAGTCGACATTCAAAATCATCCATTTGGGTGCTTACGTTTTGAGAATCGATATTTTGAAAATTATTAAATATAACGACGACAAAAATGTAAACTAATTCGATGTTTCGGAAAATAAATCTCAATAAATCAATGTTAGAATTGATTATTGTTTTATCATTATATTGAATTTCTTGTTTTTTTATGAATGTGTTTGCTTATTTCTTCAAATTCATCAAATGTCGTCTTTTCAATAAAAATTCTTGGAAATCTACAGAAAATGCTTGTGGACAATGAGACATTAGAGAAACCAATAACTGAATAAGGTTACTTATTTTCAATGATGATAGTTAATTTTTATTTTCTCAAACTGTTCTTAAAAAACTAATTAGTTTACTGTAGAATTTTTATACATTTTTCGTCGTCGTTATTAAATAATTTTTTTAAACCGATTCTCAAAATCTTCCCTCAAAAAGAACAATCTATGAAGATTCTCAGTTCAACTACCATACATTGCCAGTCACTCCCTTTAAGCTATAAAAAGCGATATCTTTAACACTTTTAAACCACAACATTTCAATGGTATCGTTGTGAAATTGGCACACCCTCTTTAAATGTAGACTCACTTGAAATTGCTGTAGTCCCAATAAACACTGTTTGTCTAAAATCTAGAAAAAATGGAAAAAAATGTTAAAACGTTTTAACTTTTGAAAATTTGAGTAGTTTTCAATTTGAGGCGAGCAGAATCATTATTCATCCTAGATACAACTATTACAATTTCGATAATGATATAGGTCAAAATTATATTTAAATTAAACGATATTTTTCAAGTTAAAAAAATGTAAAAAATCTCTGTACAATAAGACAGGACACGTTATTGACTCAAGTCCTAATATTAGATTTATTTAGCCGTGGTCCATCTTAATGAAAGGATGGTCCCGGCCCACATCTCAGGAAAATAAGACAGGAAACGGCATTGGCCCAAGTCCTAATATTAGATTTGTAATTTGCTTAGCTGTGGTCCATCTTGAAAAAAGATAGTCCCGAGCCCACATCTCAGTAAGATAAAGCAGGCAAAGTTCTTGGTCCAAACCCTGAATTTTTATTTATTTAGCTGTGGTCCATCTAGAAGAAAGAATAATGTCGGGCCCACATCTCAGTAAAATAAACCTTATGTCAACAGAATATAATCTGGAGGTAATAACTTTTTTTTGGATTTTTTAGGGTGTCTTGTGTCAAACAACTTTTTCAACCTTTTTATACCATAGTAAAATAAATAGTAAAATATTTTTATACCATAGTATAATATTTGTATACCATAGTAATATATTTGTATACCATAGTAAAATATTTTTATACCATAGTAAAATATTTTTAACAGCACCAGAAAACTCTGGAATAGAAAGACGACCACTCTAGATAGCCTAAACATTACACAGAGCAATTGCGCAGTTTGAACTCATTTAATCTTCTATTTAATAAAACTCTTCGCTAATACATATATTTTTATAAATATTTATATATTTGTATATTTTTATACAGTGATTACTAGAAAACTCTGGAATTTGAAGTCGACTTAATTAAACTCAGGACAGGAGGCAGGGAATCATGAATATAAGGAATCAGACAGTATAAATTCCATATAGTCGTCTCTGAAGTTTCATCCTCTGTGGGTAACTCTGTACTTTTTCATTTTTAGAAAGTTCCTGATGTGAAATTGACAGTAATGGGTTGGGGAGCTTTAAGTGAAGGAGGTCCGACCCCCTTCCTTCTGACCGCTGTGCAGGTTCCATACGTCAGGATTGAACACTGCCGTCAACATATGTCACCGTATATGTAAGATTTTTAATCCTTTTTGAAAATAAATGCTTTTAATGCTTAATTGTTAAACAAAACAAAAACTAAAACTGCAAAAATTCGACTAAAACTCGACTGTAATTAGATATTTTCATTGCAATTTATTAATTAATAAAATTAAAAATCTAAATATGATTATCTGATTAATAGAAAGAATTAAAAGAATATATTGATTAAATAAATTCAGCAGTTATTTAATTTATTGATTAATCAATTGATCAGAATGGAAATCAGCTTGATGAACTGAATTGTTTGATTGATTGATTTAGGATTTCCGAGGGAATGTTCTGTGCTGGAGATATATACGATGGCGGAGTTGATTCCTGTCAGGTATCATTATTATTTTATTATCATTATCTTTTTCTGTCAGGTATCATTATTATTTTGTTATCATTATCTTTCCTGTCAGGTATCATCATTATTTTGTTATCATTATCTTTTTCTGTCAGGTATTATTATTATTTAATTATCATTATCTTTTTCTGTCAGGTATCATTATTATTTTGTTATCATTATCTTTTTCTGTCAGGTATCATTATTATTTTGTTATCATTATCTTTTTCTGTCAGGAATCATTATTATTTTATTATCATTATCTTTTCTGTCAGGTATTATTAGTATTTTGTTATCATTATCTTTTCTGTCAAGTGTCATTATTATTTTGTTATCATTATCTTTTTCTGTCAGGTATCATTATTATTTTATTATCATTATTTTTTCTGTCAGGTATCATTATTATTTTGTTATCGTTATCTTTTCTGTCAGGTATCATTATTATTTTGTTATCATCATCTTTTTCTATCAGGTATCATTATTATTTTGTTATAATTATCTTTTTCTGTCAGGTATCATTGTTATTTTGTTATCATTATTTTTTCTGTCAGGTATCATTATTATTTTGTTATCATTATCTTTTCCGTCAGGTATCATTATTATTTTGTTATCATTATCATTTTCTGTCAGGTATCATTATTATTGTATTATCATTATTTTTTCTGTCAGGTATCATTTTTATTTTGTTATAATTATCTTTTTCTGTCAAGTATCATTATTATTTTGTTATCATTATCATTTTCTGTCAGGTATCATTATTATTTTGTTATCATTATCTTTCTCTGTCAGGTATCATTATTATTTTGTTATCATTATCTTTTCCGTCAGGTATCATTATTATTTTGTTATAATTATCTTTTCTGTCAGGTATCATTATTATTTTGTTATCATTATCATTTTCTGTCAGGAATCATTATTATTTTTTTATCATTATCATTTTCTGTCAGGTATCATTATTATTTTGTTATCAATATCATTTTCTGTCAGGTATCATTATTATTTTGTTATCATTATCTTTTCTGTCAGGTATCATTATTATTTTGTTATCATTATCATTTTCTGTCAGGTATCATTATTATTTTGTTATTATTATCTTTTCTGTCAGGTATCATTTTTATTTTATCATTTTTATCTTTTTTAATCAGGTATTATTATATTGATTTTATTATTCTTAAATTATCTTTATTATTCTATTATAATTATCTTTTTATGTTGATTATTATCCTTAATTATTCTATGCTGCCCATATTATACTATTTTTTTTAATTCATCGCACTTAGGTTGAAAAGAATTTTTAAAGTCTGAAAAAGTTTCGAAAAATAAATAAATCCTGACCGAAATCTATTATTTTCCACGTACACCCCTTCAGCTAGTAAGCATATATATAGAAATTATCTTTCATAAACTTTTTTGGCGTGAAATATATATTTAGAATTCATTAATACCAATTAAAAAGTTTTGTTTTCTCTAGATATGTACATAATTGTATATATGTATATATATCTACATCTACGTCCCGTATTATAGAAGGCTTTTCTAGTAATGTTTAGGCTTTTTAACGTTGCTTATCATTTCATGCCATGATTTTAGTTGTACATACTAAAATTGTAATACTTTTTAAAAGTTGAAAATATTTTTTTTCGCTGCTAAATGGACAAATACATCTTTTTTGTTAAATATGAGATTTAGGCCTGATCGGTTTAATCGTTTTGACGTTTATTGGACACAGACAGACCAACCAACCAACAAACAAACAAACAGACAATAAAAATATATATTTTAAACATATTGCAGGGGGATAGTGGTGGTCCTATTGTTTATTCTGTGGAAGACTACAGCATAAAGGCCAGGTGTGTATTACACTTATTAATTCATACGAAGGGGGGGGGGGTTGTATAACAAAAGTCTAACATACTTGTTATTTTAAATTTATTTAACCGTAAAAAAAAAGTCATTTGAAAATATGATTAGGGGTTTCTTCATATATGTATAATAACAAGCTGGTTCCTTGTATACAGAGCAATTGTTAATAATAATTCAAGAATTTCTAGTTACAAATTTAACAAGGAGGAGTGTGAGTAAACACCAGAGTAAAAGTGGGGGGACTCCAAAACAGAGATTACTATTTTATATGTACAATATATGTACATGATGATAAAAGATAAATATTATATAAATATCTAAGATTGTCTGTATATTGCAGCAAGAGGAAGATGTTTTTGAACTTGGATATGTTCGGGAAAGGCAAGGAGGAGGAAAGAAAAGAAGATGAAAATGAAGAAATTGTAAAAGAAGAAGAAGAGGAAGAAATGATTGAAGATAGTTTGGAAGTAGAGAAGGTATTATTCATTTCATAATTCTGGTGCGGAATCACAACTGTATTCATATCTTTGCAACCTCATGTCGTAGACCTTAGACTATTTCAAACTATGAGTTCAAGGCGTCAAAGTTTGAATCTCAAAAGATAATACCATAAGGTTGCAAAGATATAGGGATTAAAAATTTAGATATTGTGGCAAGCGTCCATCTCCTTTCGATTGAAAATTATTTTATGTAATTTTTCTTGTATTTTAAAACTTTATTTGAAGCAAAATCTTTTTTTAAGGTACTTGGATTTTTCTCATTTTCATTTTTTGTTGTTATTCTTTTTTGTTTTTGTTTGTTTGAGAAGTTGGAGGGGTGGGGGTGGGTTAGGTCTAATATTGTTTTCAATATCCGTTCCTCACAACCAAATATTGAATATTTGTAAATCAGTTTTATTTTGAGATGATAGAACGAGCAAAAAAATGTTTTTAGAAAAAATTCAAAAAAAAATATTTTATTGCTATTTATTACATATTTATCACACATTTTCAATACTTCTCTAGACAAACAGATCATCCAGAGATCAAAAATAAAAATCGGAAACACACCGTACANCGCTGAAAATAAAAGAAGTCTTTTTAACGCAAAGGGTTTTCTAGGAATATGATCTAGCTGGACTAGTCAGCTGTGGGTAGGCAGCACTGAACCTGGATATGCTGGAGTGTACACTAATATTTCATATTCTCTTGGAATATTTTCTAGATGGGTTGGTCAGCTGGAGGGTAGAACACGCTCAACCTGGATATCTGGAGTTTACGCTAATATGTTGCATTTTTTCTAGAAATTTGCTCTAGCTGGGCTGGTAACGCTCAACCTGGATATGCTGGAGTTTACACTAATGTTGCGTATTTTCTAGGAATATGTTCTAGCTGGTCTAGTCAGCTGGGGGTATAGCTACGCTGAACCTGGATATGCTGGAGTGTACAATAATATTTCGTATTTTCTAGGAATATGTTCTAGCTGCTCTAGTCAACTGGACTGTGCTGAACCTGGATATGCTGAAGTGTACAATAATATTTCGTATATTCTAGGAATATGTTCTAGCTGGGCTGGTCAGCTGGAGGGTATGACACGCTAAACCTAGAAATGCTGGAGCTTAAACTAATATGTTGCATATTTTCTAGGAATATGTTCTAGCTGGGCTGCTAACGCTGAACCTGGATATGCTGGAGTTTACACTAATGTTGCGTATTTTCTAGGAATATGTTCTAGCTGGGCTGGTCATCTGGGGGTAGGCTGTGCTGCACCTGGATATGCTGGAGTGTACACTGATATTGCGTATTTTCTAGGAATATGTTCTAGCTGGACTGGTCAGCTGGGGGGTAGGCTGTGCTGAACCTGGATATGCTGGAGTGTACACTAATATTGCGTATTTTCTAGGAATATGTTCTAGCTGGGCTGGTCAGCTGGGGTGTAGGCTGTGCTGAACCTGGATATGCTGGAGTTTACACTAATGTTGCGTATTTTCAACACTGGATCAGGGAAAATACTATTTAGATATGTTTTGTAATATGCATGGAATAAAATTTTTAACTTTGCTATTATTTTAACATGTTTAAGAATATGTGTTTATTGAACCTTTACCATCTAAACCCTTATTTTTGTTACAATGCAGCAAATGAAGAAATGAATCTATTCACAAACTTTCTTATCCCTTTAATCAATCTTTAACCGTGATAATCAAATATAATCCTACGCTCTGAATCCTTCAGCGTCACAATTGATTAATAATGCCAAATAGAAAACTTGTGATCTTCATACCAGAAAAGTGTTTAAAAAATTTTCCCTTCAGAGACGCTACAGATAAAATTAAGATTATTAGCAATCAATGTCTAATTCAATTCGATATCAGCCTATACCCCCTTTAATTTTTTCAAATAAATCATAAAACAAAACAGTGCACTTTTTTATGGTAAAGATATAAGATAAAGCAGTAAAAGGTCCTTTATCATTGCTTTTAAAAACTTTTACAACTTAAATCCAAATTTAAATTCAAACTTAATTCTCAATTTAAATCCAAATTTAAATCTCAATTTGATTAAAAATTTAAATCTCAATTTAAATCTCAATTTGAATCCAAATTTAAATCTCAATCTAAATCCAAATTTAGATCTCAATTTAAATTTCAATTTGAATCCAAATTTAAATCTAAATCTAAATCCAAATTTAAATCTCAATTTAAATCTCAATTTGAATCCAAATTTAAATCCAAATTGCATAGTTTTCTGATAAAATCTGATAAAAATCAAGACATATCAGCGACAATGATTGTTTCATGATAACGAATTTAAAAAGTTTAAAAACTATCCATCAAACTAATTACCTTTCTATCTTCTTTCTTTCTACCTCTCTGTCTACCTCTCTATCTACCTCTCTATCTACCTCTTGATCTACCTCTCTATCTACCTCTTCATCTCTCTATCTTATACCTCTTCATCTCTCAATCTACCTCTTCATCTCTCTATCTACCTCTCTATCTACCTCTCAATCCATCTCTCTATCTATATATCTACCTCACTATTTACCTCTCTATCTACCTTTCTATCTACCTCTCTATCTACCGCTTCATCTCTCTATCTAATACTTCTTAATCTACCTCACTATCTACCTCTCTATCCACCTCTTTATCTACCTCTCTATCTACCCCTCTATCTACCTCGCTCTTCATCTCTCTTTCTTCCTCTCTAGCTACCTCTATAAACCATTATATCTATTTCTCTGTCTACCTCTTTATATACATCTTCAACTATCTATAACCCTTTTGATCTACCTTTCTCTCAATCTCTCTAAAAACCTCTCTATCTACCTTTTCATCTCTCTATTTACCTCTCTAAGAGTTACAATCCATTCATCTTAATAGAACTGTTTACAAACACTCCTATGGGAAATCTACAACCCCTACCCTCCCTTTTCCTATCTCCATCCCCTCCTTTTCCATAACCTCCCCCCGCTTAACTTCTCCCCTTTTTTTTGATATTGCATAGCGCGCAATCTTTAAAATATATTTTAAAGCTGCCAATATACAATTCACTATAATGAACTTCTGACGGAACAAGATTTCGCAAATTATTTATGACTAAGAAAGTAAAGATAATCTACAACATTTGTAAGGAAATTTATGTAAGCTCTTTGTCAGTAGACTGAGACATAGTTTATGTGTTGCAAAGATAAAGGGAATAACAGTTTAACTTGAAGTTTGCTGTAATTTCATACTAACAGTTTTGTTTTAAGCATTTTTCTGAATTACGGAAATATTTTTTTAATGTGTTCGAAAACTTTAATACATCGAAAAACCAAGCTATCCGTGAAAAGTTTTCTTTCTTGAGCAAATATTTTGAAAGATGAATAAAAACCAGAAAAGTTTCCCGACCACAACAAGAAAACTCAGTTTATAAACCCAGGTTTCTCCTGACTTTTACTTTTCAAAACTTTTCAAAGTACGTTTTTATATTCCCTTCAAACCTGTTATTTTATTTTTCAGGGATAAGTTGAAAATTTGAAAAATTTTTGTTGAAATTTTGATCTTGAATTGCTTATGTACAAAATCGAATGGTGCAATTCAGTGTACACTGTACACTGTACATATGCAGCTGTTAAAAAAATGCTAAACGTCTGTCATAAATTGAAACCTTTACGAAATATGCTTTCTAAAACAGGGCAGGATCTTAACCTTCAAAATTTAAATGAAAAATATATTTGGCCATTTTGTCCTGCTTTTTATTTGATAGAATGTTGAGAAAAATTTTACATTATAAATATAAGCGTATAGAGAAAATGAACACTCTAAAATTACATTTTCGTCCTTCAGAATTTGGGCTAAACCCCGTCAGTTTGATTGAATTGCGAAAGGAGTGATATTATGAGGAATCCGGGGGGGAATATTATGGGGTATCCGGGGGGGGATATTATGGGGTATCCGGGGGGGATATAGGGGAAATAGGGAATTAAGTCACGTAGATCTTTCCTCCTTGCTTGTCAAACTCTTTTCAAAGAAATATTAAAACGAAATAATAAGTGAATAAATGTTAAAGGGGAAAAGAAGTTAAATGGAACAAAAATAACCTGTTTTGCCTAATTTAATGAAGAACGAAAAGTAGTTTAACCATGTTGACATAGCTGTAACTGTAAGACGATGCAAATAATAGAGAAGTGGTTTACCTACGGTTGTAGGCGATTATATCAATAAAATGAATTTTTGTTTTTTTAAGCTTTTTTCGAATTACAAATTTACAAGAAATTAAAAAGTTGCTTATTCAGTGACAGCTTCTCTTTTTGTTTCCATGTTTTTGTCCATCCATGTTGTTTAAAAGCTTGATATACATTAAAATTGAAACCGAAAATGGTCTTTATTATATTGATATAATCGCCTACCACCGTAGGTCTAATCAGTTAAATTATTTTTCTCTTTTCACTCTGGGACAAAACATGAAAGTAAAATGACAGTTTTAAAAACTTCAAAAACATTGAAAGTTTAATTTGTTTTAAAACTTTTTAAAAAGTTAGTTTGTTAAGAATTTCATTTAAAAGCTATAAACAAGTTTATATATAGTAATAGAAGAGGATCTTTTATAATTTTTTTTTTCTTTGTATTTTTCCTCAATTAAAGTTGCATGATTACAAAAATGAGATACCCTTTAAGGGGAGTGACCGGCAATGTATGGCAGTTGAGCTGAGTATGTAGTTTTGTGAACAAATTCTTTATTTTTATTTTTCAGGGATAAATTGAAAATTTTAAACTAGGATTCATTTGAGACAGATAAAACGTTTTAAAGATCTATAATTACTGAGTTTGAGCCAATTGGGCAAAAAGTCTACTTTCAAAATTGCCTTTTGGGTGGATAAGTTTTGAGAATTTTTTCTTAATTATAAAAAACACGACAAAAAATATAGTAAACATTATACAGTAAACTAATTGGATGTTTAACAGCATATTTCTCAAAAGAAATTTATTAATAAATCAATGTTAGAATCAAATATTTCTTATTTCTCATAATGTTGAATTTCTTTTTTTCTATGAAGTGGATTTATAAAACTCTTTAAAAATTTGACTGACGAAACCATGTGTTTAAAATATGCTTTTCATTTTAAAACGTAAATTAAAATTTTTTTTCTTTTTGTTAAACAAACAAAAGTTAAGACATGATTTCACCTTAGTCTTTATCGCCCCAAAGGAAAGAGAGGGGGTAGGGTAACTCCCCCCCCCCTCCCGTATATAAATGCCAAGTTGTAAAAGTGTTGTTGCAAGTTTGACTTATTACGCAATATAAAATTCCCGGCTTGGAATGTATTTTAAGATGCTTGATAAGGAAAACTTTGTATTTTTGTTTTTTAATGTTTATCATTTTATATATACGTAGAAACACACAATTCGCTGAAATAATATAATAATAATAATAACATAAATTTTCACTTATTTTTTCGATCTTTTTTCATGATTTCATATATTTAATTATGAGGAACTTAAAAATCGCCACAATCTTAATTCTTTGAATCTCTATGTTTGTTCAAAATGATGACAATCAAGGTACTAATGCAAGGAAAGTTAATTGCGGTCGCGTATACTCTGCGTACATATTAAAACCAGCTCTCTCTGGGCGGAATTGTAAACAAGAATAGATGCATATCAGTGTTCGTCTAGTATCTGAGGAGGATAAAAAACATTTAATTTTGATAATTTTGAAAATTACCATAATAGTTTTCTAAGACCAGAATATTTCATAGATCATATTTGTGAAAATGAATTCCATGTCAGGATTCGACATCCGGTCTATGTTTACATTACAATACACTGCAGTACAAAAAATGCGTACACCTCTGAAATAACTTTTATTGCATTAGTACCTTGATGACAATAACCTTTTCTATTTCAAACTATAATAGAGATTAATTTTTATTCATAATGAAATTTTTTTATTTCAAAATCGAGCAAAAGATTTATACAAAAAATAATTTTAGGATAGCTATTTTTTCAGGGTATATTTATAAACCTATATTGAATAATTTTGGCACCTTATTCGTAAGCCTTATAAAAAATATAAAACCAGTTGCTCAAGTTTTTTATTAGATTAACTTTATCTTTCTTTCTCACACTAAGTTCGTTCATACACCGTGTTTTTCTATCCAACCTTTTTAGATAAATATTTATAAACTTTTCTAGGAAACAACTTATTTTTCATTTTATGAAGAGGGCAGCAAAACCTAATAAGCCGAGGGGGGGGGGGGGCAAATCGGTCAAGGGGTTCCTGAGTTATGATCGGAAAAACAAACAAACAGACTTTATTTATATAGATTATGAAAATTATAGGAAAATTTTCCATTTTAGCCAGTTTAGACTGGCATAATTCATTGCAAATGAAACTGCTTAGAGTTATATGACGTTTAGAAAATATAAAAGAACTGAACAATTGCCAATTTTCTAATCCCTATATCCTAGCAACGATGCAAGCCTTTGATATTTCCAACGTATTTAGAATATCTTTGGTCTTCGCTAGGTGTTACTGTTATCAAATGAAATTTGAATTTAAGAAATTATATTTAAATGTTACAAAATTGAAAATGAAATAGAAATATTTCAAAAAGTTAACCTAATTCTTTCCTTCGTTATATGTTGAAGATACAAAGGCATTTAAATTGAATTAGATTTACATTTAGATAAAAAATGTTTTTAACAAACCATATTCTCATATTCCTTTCTTTAACTTCCATCCTGGGATTCATCCCAACTTGTGCAAATAGATCCAATAGGCGAGTATTTCAATTATTTGGAATATTTTTGTTATACTAAAAATAATTATATTAATAACAGGTGAGTATTTGAATTATTTGGAATATTTTCGTTATACTAATAATAATTATATTAATAACAGGCGAGTATCTGAATTATTTGGAATATTTTCGTTATACTAATAATAATTATATTAATAACTGGCGAGTATCTGAAATATTTGGAATATTTTCGTTATACTAATAACAATTATATTCTGGCGAGTATCTGAATTATTGTCATGTCATGTCATTAATATCATTGAAATTATTATCATTAATATTAACATTGTAATTTCCTTTTAATCATCATAATCATAATAAATCAGATTTTTCTAATACTTCTAGAAGACAACGAATCCAGTCCTTATTAAATAACCAACCATCTTCACCAAACTTCAGGTTAGTTAAAGCGAATGTACCCTTAATTTCAAGTGACCCTCCATGTACAGAACGAACACTTTATTCACAACGTTCACCTTGAAACCTTTATCGGATCGATAATCATAGTTTTTTACGTTTAAAAGTGTTTAGTTCTGATAATTCCTTTAAGTTTTCCTATAGTAGAAATGCGCAAGTTCCTTTTTGTAGAGAAACCACCATTGACAATAATCAATTTAAAAATATTAAACATTGCCATCTCCAATTCATGCTTGAATAGACAAAGCTTTTATACTATCTTTGCATGGGGGGTCACATGAAAGTACGCCAACAGTCCCTTTAATAAGGAAAGTTGTTTAGAACGAGGNCCACTGTACTCTATGATACCAACTCAGTCATAAGGAAACATTTTTCGACAAATTTCACTGTACAGTATAAACCTAGCCAGGCAAAATTAGGAGAGTTATGCCCGCCCCCTGGTTTAAGTTCTTTCTCATTGATAATGATAAAATGAGTTCAAATAATACTTAATTTTAGGATAAAATTTGGAAAAACATCTCCAATCAGAATGTAAAAAAATGTAAATTTTTTTTCAGATTAAACTTTGATCCCGTGACCCTAGCTCCGGAATTCAACAGATGGATAACGTATGAAACACAATTTTAAACACTAATACATTCCTACAGTGTGACTCATAAAACTGTGGAAAAAATATGAAACATAGGAATAGTGCAGTTTAATGATTATACAATTTAACCAATTTCATTTTATAAATTCATTTTTGTCAAATACTTAAATTCCATAATTATCGTTTTTCTATTCCACAGTTTTATGAGTTCCACCCACTCCAGTTTTTTCTTCAAATGTTTACAGCAAAATATTTTTGATGACTCTATAAGTTCAGTATTACAAATCACAGTATTACAAAGTACAGTATTACAAAGTACAGTATTACAAAGTACAGTATTACAAATTACAGTATTACAAAGTACAGTATTACAAAGTACAGTATAAAAAGTACAGTATTACAAAGTACAGTATTTAACAGTACTGTATTACAAAGTACAGTATTACAAAGTACAGTATTACAAATTACCGTATTACAAAGTACAGTATTACAAATTACAGTATTAAAAAGTTCAGTATTACAAAGTACAGTATTACAAAGTACAGTATTTAACAGTACTATATTACAAAGTACAGTATAACAAAGTTTAGTATTGCAAAGTACAGTATTACAAAGTACGATATTACAAAGTTCAATATTACAAAGTACAGTACTGTACCCTTTATTAAAAAGTACAGTTTTAAAAAGTAATGTATCATTAAGAACAATATTACAAAGTACTGTATTACAAAGTAAGTATTCCACATTTTAGTACTCTCACTAGTGTCTATACTCTATACCCGTTATTGCAAATTAAATATTAATATCTCTATATCCTAGATGGGATCCTAATACAATAAAAACTACAACAACAACAACAACAACGCCACAGCCAACTATAAGGAAATAAATTATGTGATAAAGAATCAGGGTTTTATTAATTTGTGCTTTTAAAGATTCGTTTACAAAATTTCGAAGTATTTTTCTTTATAAATTCTTAACTTTTTTGACAATCAAAAGAACTGATTTTTTGCCACAAACTCAAATCGCTATATCTTTGTATACCAATGTCGTAAACCTTAGATATTTCAAACTATGAATTCTGTAAATTTAATTAGTCTAAATGTTATCCGATTTATGGTATAAAATATTGGAGTTTGTGACAATAATATAGTTTCTTTATTAGAAACTTTAAATTTTTGTCCTTAAAAAAAGAAAATTCATCTAAATTTTTTTCTGACGCTTTTCACTTAAAAATGTTGTGCTCAGTTGTACTGTGTACAGTTCTAATAATTTAATGTATGGTAGTCCCTACGATGAATGGTATTATCGAGATGATCAAAACTATGTACAAGGTCCCTTCTCTTCCAGTACTATGTTGGAGTGGTACAAAGCAGGATACTTTAGGTATGTTCAAGACTACTGTACACATTACAAAAGTGTACAGTCTTGTTCCTAGAGTCTTGTACTGTGCAGTCTTATACTGTGCAGTCTTGTACTGTACAGTCTTTTTCCTAGAGTCTTGTACTGTGCAGTCTTGTACTTTGCAGTCTTGTACTGTGCAGTCTTGTACTGTGCAGTCTTGTACTGTGCAGCCTTGTACTGTGCAGTCTTGTACTGTGCAGTCTTGTACTGTGCATTCTTGTACTGTGCAAGTCTTGTAATGTGCAGTCTTGTACTGTGCAGTCTTGTACTGTGCAAGTCTTGTAATGTGCAGTCTTGTACTGTGCAGTCTTGTTTGTGTGCAGTCTTGTACTGTGCAGTCTTGTACTGTGCTGTCTTGTACTGTGCAGTCTTGTACTGTGCTGTCTTATACTGTGCTGTCTTGTACTGTGCTGTCTTGTACTGTACAGTCTTGTACTGTACAGCGTACATTAGTGTACGTCATTCTTTGTACTAAAGTTAAACATTTTTACAAGTCCAAATGAAACTATTATCATTTAATTTCGGGCATTATTATCATCTGAAGTGTTCCTTGTTTTTAGAATATAAGCAATCTAATTAAGTGATAAAATCTAAATCTAAAATACGCTATGGATATCATACATATATTTCGCCAGAATCGAAGGGGGCCATACATTTGGCGTAATCATTTTATAGTAATATTAGTAATAATATTTAAAATTTGAATTTTTAAACAAAAATAATTAAAAACATTTTGAAATTAATCCAAAAAGAGGTCATTTACGAACTAATGTTTCGATATTTTTATGTCAAGCATATTTTAACTGCAGATCTTTTAATATTTTAAAAATTATGATTTTTTACTCAATAATTTATTAGGATTTAGTTTGAGGGACTTGATTCTAAAAAATGCGAATTTGGGAGCCAAAACATTGGAATTTTTTAACCTGGTGTAAAAATTATATGTTGAGTGGATAGGCGTTTTGGGGCAAATCCAGGCAAAGCTGGGTTTCAATGCCATTTTAATATGAAAAAGAATGTTTATTTTCAGGTCTTCCTTGATGATTCGACGAGAAATAGACAAAACATTTACAAGTCTTGGATACTATATGAGGTAGGAGGTAGGAGGTAGGTGGTAGGAGGTAGGAGGTAGGAGGTAGGACTACCTCACT